TTTCAGGCATATGGTGGCTGCAATTTTCTTGTTTACATCTGGAAATACTATAGATATATCATTGCATGTAGCTCATTACAACAGCCTCTTAGGCATTTGAAACTCAAACATACACAAAGAGTACAGTTAGATTCTGAATTATTTTATAATCTCATACATTAACATAAGACTATTTGATCAGTATTAAAAAAATAATTGGATGAACAGTGCTTAAATTTATACAGAGAATGCCTGAATTAATGTTATCATGATCCTTCCATTGTTTTCTCATTAACCTGGACAACTAGTTTCAGAAAATTAAATGTTTGAATAACATAACAGCAAATAATAAGCATAGATTGCTCAAGGCCATGTAAATTAATGATCACAGTATGGTGGATGGAAAACTTGAGAAACTAATCACATTTAGCTGACAGATTGTGTTCTCCATGTTAAGGAAACATCTTCAAAAGAAACTAGTAAATAGTATTGTAATCTTAAGTTCTTAGATATAGCCATTTACAATGTGTGTTACATTCACAAAGTGTTGTTCTCAGTGGCATAGCCATGATTGACAATTTCTATAGACAAGAAATCCCATGAGTAGATTCATACTTAGTGACTTACTACTGTACCAGGTTCTCAAAAAAAAAAGCAAGAGGCCTGGTCATAATATAATTATAAATTATTTTAAATAATTTACTAGTTACATATTGGCATGTAACAACTATAAAACAATGTAAATATGATTGCTGCCACAAGTGAGTGAAGAAATTTGTATATTTTAAAACTTTCTCTGGTCAGTTTTACTGTTGATAAACATAAAATTATTGTGCAACACTTAATTGCTGGAACTATACCACGGGAAAGTGCTCTTACTTTGTGGAAAGTGAAAAAAAAAATTCCCATCACCTGTAGCAAAATACTTAAAGGTATTATGTATTTAACGTACCTTGTGAACCAGTATTTTGATAGTGATTTACTATTACTCATGCAATTCCAGATTGAATATTATTTGTTCCAGCATAAACAAACCATGCTATATTTGTTTTATTTTACCCAGGTTAATAAAACAAATACATACATATATATATAAATCCATGGGATATTTAATTAAATCAAGTTATGCTTTGTAGAACCAAAAAATACCAACACCAACAAAGGATTGTAACCAGTCAATTTAGTAGACTACATTAACTATAAAGGAAAATCAACTATTAAAGGTCAGCAGCTTGATACTGTGTGAAAACTTTTCAAGTTTCTTTTCTTTGTGGAGAACAAATTAACATGGGTCAAAACTGTTTAAAACGGACTAATATTATGCATTATTACAATTATTGCTCATTATGATTTGACATCTTACAAGATAAATTTCTAAGCAAAATTTATTTTTTCTGATGAAAAACACTGGTACTGCTACTAAACAATGAAGTAATAACACATTGAGTTTATAAATATTTTAGGTCTTTAGTGTATTATGACTGTAAATACCTACAATGTATAATGTTCATTTCTTTTTTTTATGCTATACATGTGAGGTACTGGGTCTTCTATTTTGAAGTCAATGATACTGTCATAGTCAAGTGAGTTAGACAGTTCCCTTTCAGGTGATAACAGTGAAAGCATATTGATGCTCCTAGTGCTGTCTTAGTTCTGTTCTCAGTAGGAAGTACTTCTAATGGTCAACTTGGCATTGGCAGCATAATCAATAACTTTAAACATTTGTGAACTTGATAAGAATATCCATAATGTAATAATCTAGAACTACCATAAGCATGTGGTTGTTTTTTCTCTGGCAGTTTTATGTGTCACATACTGAACAGATAGTTAGGTTCTGCTTCATACAAGTTAATAGTGTATATGGCATATGTAGCTTGCAAACTGCTCTTTTTGCATAAGGTCTCAAGTGTTGATAAACATACAGCAGTGTGGTTCGTATGAGACTACAGGTGTTCTGTTGAAAGTTATTATTCAATTCACAAATTTGACAGTCAAATCTGTTTTCACATCATTCTGAATTTATCATCAGAAAATGCACTAGATGCCTTTCCCGAAGCTGACAAAACTAATGAATTGCCCAGCTTTGTAGTATTTTTTTATTAAATAAAACATGCCTGTGTTCAGAACTGTATTATTGCATTGCTCTGGAAGTTTGTCAAACTATCTTTTAGTTAATTATTTTAAATGTGTTAACTTCTGAAACACTGAATAAAACATTAACGAAACTTACATTTAAAAAAATATCAACAATAAATCTTACTTTCACTTCAGTTACAATTCCACCCTGTGTATACCCTTTTATCACTGCCATTACATGTGTACTCTAGTGACATATACAGTTGTCTGTATCAGTAACTGTAAAAATGCTGTTCAGCTGACCAGTTAAATTATCAGATAATGTTGAATGATGAACAAAACATCAGCAAATTTAAACAATTCTACCTTAAGATGCTTCAGTCTTTGTGCTAGCTGTTGTTAAATCTTAATGTATTGTTTACAAATTGAATATAAATATATCTTTTTCTCTTCTTCTTTACTTTTAATTCTAGTAAAACATTATCTGCACCTTATTTCTAAACATTATATAAAAAAGACATCTTGCAAATAGAGTTGGCCATTGAATTAATTAATTGATTGCTTATGAGCAGCAATTACATTGATTAATATCACTTAAACTAGTAGGTTAATTGAAATCATAATTGAATTAATTCAAATTAGTGTTTCTGATTACACAGGCCTGCAAATTTAAACTTCATAAAAGTTTTGGTTTTGATAAGGGATTTTCCATTATTCAGCTATGAAAATTTCAGAAATGATGTATTCATTTTTTTCTATCACTTACGATGTTTTACAAATCGGAAAGAAAAACCTATTACTTAGATTAAATTATTATTTCATTTACCACAATGAACTATTTTTATTATTATGTTTGTTAAAAAAACTACAACCAAACTGAAGAAAAGGGAAGAACATTGATGTCAAATGAATATGCATCTTCAGTCATCCTGATTTTTTTGTGAAATCTAAGTCTTTTAGTTTCAAAACTACGTGTTATGGTCTTTCTTTTATGTATTGCATCTGGAGCATTTCATTTCAATAACCAGCAGTAATAAACCACCATGCTGATGTTCCACCTTCCCTGATACCTCTTCTCCATTTCCCTGATGTCTTGATGTTACCTTTCTTCTTGTTCTTTGCTGGCGGCACCGAGATTTTCAGGGAAATAATCAATATGTGAGTGTAAGGCTCATATTACAACCCAAGTCTTTGAATTTATCGAGCATGTTATTGACAATATTTTTGTAATTTGGGTCCTTGTTGTTTCCTAAAAATTTGTCAATAACATGTTTAAAAGCAATCCACGCTTCTTTTTCAACTTTCCTCATTGTCCTTTCGAACTGTTCATCCAAAGTAAATTTCCTAATCTGAGGCCCAACAAAAATCATTTTTCTAGTTTTTCTTCTGAAGAAGTTGGGAATTGCCCACATCATTACTTGAAACAATTGCTATCTGTGGCTAAGGCCTTTACAAACTGCCTCATCAAGCCCAGTTTTATGTGAAATGGAAGTAATAGGACTTTCTTTGTGGTAATGTTTTGCCTTTGTTTCTTGACAACAAACTTACCACAAATATAAAAGAATATGTTTGGGTCATTTACACAACCTCTTGTTACCATAATGATGAATAATTAATATTGAAAAGAAAGAAATGTCAAAGTGCATGCACAAACCAATACTATCCAGAAATATCAGGTCATGTGACCTTTTAACTGTTTATATACTAGCGGTGTTTTTCTCATGGGTTCTAGAATGATTGATAAGCCTCACGTCGTGATTGGTCTAGAGAAATTTATAGCCAGTGGTTGTCAACATTTTAAGCAAAACAAAATATGACCCAATTTCAGTGAAAATGGTTCACTTATGTAAAAGTACAAATGACATTTTTGTGAAAAAAGTAATCAACTAATCCAAATTAGGGTTTTCATTATTGATTATTTTTTATTATTCCAGTATCTAAGTGATTGAAATATTGTCACCAAACTTGCTCACTCTGTTTTTGTTACGGCAAAGCTACTAAGGCTATCTACCATATCCCTGATGTTTAACTGCTGACTGCAACACTACTTACCACTAACATTTTTCTTGTTAATGAACTGTTCATTAGAGGAAAGGCAACTGTCTTGTAGCATCAACTGCCAATGTTTTATTTATTATTATTTTTGTTTTTTTTTATACTTCTTGAATTGTTGATTAACAGTTGTAGATTAACCTTAATATTTCAACAGATATGTACACAATTCTAGAATGCTCAAATTAATCAAAATAATTTTTTAACACCAGGTAAATCCTTTGAAGCTTACAAATGTTTATGTTCCTGAACTTTATTAATAAAGTAAAATAATATAACTTTCTGAAGTAGCAAGAACAATGTACTCTAGTAACTTACACTGTATAAAAAACTATATTTAGTAGAATTATCTTATGTTATGAAACTTTGAAATAGAAAACAAAATACTAGGTATAACACATTTTTTCATTATTATTGGTGTTTATAATGTGAGACTAATTTAAGCATTGATTTCGCATGTTACCAAGTAATAATACAGCATATTGACATCATAAACCTATTATATCCAATAGGATAGGTTATAGCAGAAATAACAGCTGTTTAGGCTATTGCTTATATGATCCTATAAAATTATGTATGTAACGTAGATACTGTAAGTCTACATGTTCATAGGCTCTAATGTACCATATGTGTGGTATTGAATGTCCATTATAGTATGCTCATAAGATATTGTATGCATTTTTTAATAAGGGCATATTTTATGATTTTGTCCAAATTTCTTCAAATGAGTTAAGTTTCTATAGGGCTCAAATTGCACTAGAAGATCACAAATTCTATACTGTTTATGAAATACGAAATGAAAATATACTAACTCCTTAAAGTCACATTTATTGTTCATGATAACAGAAAATGTTACACAATATTATATATAATTATTATTTTCTTGTTTGTAGGTGTGGGAAAATCCTGCCTTCTTCTCCAGTTTACAGATAAGAGATTTCAACCTGTTCATGATTTAACTATTGGCGAGTATCTTATTTTTCTTAAAGAATACCATATCTAACGAGTACATAATAGTATATAATAGTCTAAAATTGAGTAATAGTAAAGTACCTTTACTCATTAATACCCATTTGGGTAATTTTAAGTGATCAGTATCTTGCAGAAGAAAAAGAAGATAATTAATATATTGTAAAACAAAAAGTCCTTTTTAGAATGTTTGATTAGCATTAAGTAGTGAAGACTTCCTTCTTGTATGTGACACTAAATATATGAATATTAGGCAAGGAATGAAATAAATATATTGCACTGAAATAATTTTTTGTTGTTCCTGTGTTTATGTCAGTGTGCTTTTTAAACTTTTTTGTTGATGTTATTTAGGCAAAGAGTCAGTGATCAGTAACTTTAAAATGTTCTCAAAACTTACTTTCAGGTGTGGAATTTGGAGCCAGGATGATCACCATTGATGGAAAGCAGATTAAGTTACAGATCTGGGACACTGTAACTATGAATTTTTTTCTTTTTTAGATTAATTTTTTCTGTACAGAAATGAAATGATGGATATTTGTTTTCCAGTATCTTCTCACAAGTCATGTAAGTTAGCTATATATTGTGAAAAAACTTAATGTTTTCAAAAAAAAGTTGCAGTATTGAAAGAGAATCAGGACTCGGTTAAAAAAATCTCACTCTATTTAAAGAGAATCAGGACTCGGTTAAAAAAATCTCACTCTATTTAAAGAGAATCAGGACTCGGTTAAAAAAATCTCACTCTATTGAAAGAGAATCAGGACTCGGTTAAAAAAATCTCACTCTATTTAAAGAGAATCAGGACTTGGTTAAAAAAATCTCACTCAATCTAGATATCTTGAACAACTCAAGCACCAAATTGACATTAGAGTACCATATTAACCCTAAGTGCACTAATGGAACTCAAAGTGTACAACCCATGACATTTGACAGAGTGCCATTTAACCTGGTATTATGTGTTTGATATCAGAGTTATCAACTATTCTATTTACCCAACACTGCTAATTTGGTGACAGTTTATGGAAGAGAAAATATCAAATACAGTATACAGGAATACTGAGAAAAATGATAGATGTGAATTTTGGCAGTTCTGGAGGTTATATAAATACAGTATGCAAACTGTATGATGGATAAAAGTATCTTTATTCTTCACATGAACATCACCTTGCATGTCAGAGTCTGAATCAGGTTAATGTCCATTCACAGACATATTTTGAGTACAAATATATTTGTAACTCATCTGATTGTTTGTTTACAACAGACTTGTACATTGTACTAAAAGCTTGCCACATTTTACATAGTTAAATATAGTAAATTTGGAATTGCAATATGAAGTTGGACCAATGGACAGAGTCTGTCCAATTAGGTTAAATATTCTTTGACCAGTTTCTCATCTTAACCAGCAAGTAATTACTGAAAGAACTTTAAAGTCAAATTCACTTATTATTAGATATATGGAAGTAGAACTATGTAAAGAATATCTTTGTAGGGAATTAAGTTCTATGACAAGGGTTAGGGGGCTAACAACCCTTAATTGAATGAAAGAAGGTATGGCTTTGGAACCATTGTATGATTTATACAGTTGAAAATAGTTGAATGTTCAAAAAATGTAATATGTCAAATTTTTAGTGATTGATATTAAATGAGAAGGTTAGGAAAAGTGTTTTATTCTTACTAAAAGGCAATGTCAGACTATGGGCAGTGCAAATGAGTAAGTTAAAATTAAGTGCAATATTCCTATACATATTTTAGATTATTCATATAAGAAATTATTAATACTCTCAAAAAGAGTTTTTCATATGGTTAAAAATGTATTTGATTATGTAGCGTTTTATTGTGTGGCATACTTTCTTGATGCTGTAGTTGTGTATGGTAACCAAGTTATGCTGTGCTTAGGAATTATTATAGTAGATGTACGTATTGGTTGTTATTGTAATTAGAAATGAGTGGTTGAATGTTTTTTGCAACTAATTTTCTGTTCTTAAGTTTTGATTCTTATGGTTTTCTGTGATTAAAAACAAAGCTGGATAAATATGTGTAATTCTTAAATGTTATACATATGGTTATATTCTGATAAAGTTTCAGTTGAAGAATGAATGATAAACAATATAAGTTATTTATAAGATTGTTGTAAAGCTGTTTGTAAACTTTCAGGCTGGTCAGGAAGCATTCCGATCCATTACTCGTTCATACTACAGGGGTGCAGCAGGTGCTCTACTTGTGTATGACATTACAAGGTAGGAAAAAACTCTGCTCTTTGATACAAAATATAGATGGTTAAGGGAGGGTCTGTCTAAAATTTACCTTTGGGTATAATAAAGAGATTTAAGTTTAAGTTAGTAAAATGTGTGATGATGGTAAATGTTTTGGTTGTTCATTTTTCCAGATAACCTATTTAGTTTGAGTCTCACTTCACATTATATTTTTTTTTCTACAACTCTGAACTTTCAGAATAATGCAACTAACTCTTTCAAGAACATGTTAAGGACAGTTGATTTTTAAAGTAAACCTATTAAAGGATATTCAGTTTTTGTTGCACGTACACCTTATAAAACTAATTGTGATAATTGTTATTTATGTAATCCTTTTCAGGTAATACATTTTATGTTGTTAGTAGTTAGAGCTGGGTGATTAGAGATAATTTCTAATCCATTAATGGATGCCCCATTAATTGATTACATTTGATTAATTGATTAATACAGAGTTCCTCAAACCATGGTACATATACAAGAAAAACAAAGGTGGTGGTAGGTGCTGTCAGACAGTTGCCTTCACTCTAATCCATGGGTGGGAAACCAAGTTTTTTTCCTGGCCATGGATGTGGCCAGTCGATCACAGAAATGTCCACACTATTAATAAAACAGAAAATGTTTGCTAAATATACTTATTTCAGGATTCTAATGACATTCAAGGTCAATTAAAAAATGCAACTCAAAAGTACAAAAAATATTTTTCAAAATTACAAATGCATGAAATTTCAATGAGAGATTTGGCATTCTTTTCTTCTGACCAGTTAAAAAAAACACAATCGATGATTCTACGAGTTGGCCACACATTTTTGCAAAATGGCCACACATGGTCATTGGCCAATGGGCTGCCTACACAGGCTCTAATCAGAAATTTAAGAAAAAAAGTTGGTGGCGAGTGCTGCTAGCATATTGAAAACTTAGTGATTGGCAGATAGCCTTAGTAACTTTATCATAAGAAAGACAGGGTGAGAAAGTTTGATGGCAATGAGAATCAAACCCTAGACCCTCAAATCAAGCATCCACCCTTAAGTATGACCAAGAAATAGAAAAAACATTATGCTAAAATTAGGGAGAGCACTTAATTGATTGTTGGAATAATTGGAAACACTGGTTTTGATTAATTCTCTTGTAACAGGTAAGTCAAAGTGCACATGTCACAACTTTTTTACAAGTTCAAAATTTAAAATTAAACTTTCAAAATTTAATTAAACTACTTTATTATGAATAAACTTAGCATCAAAATATAGCTAATAAATGAAATTTTAATATTATATAAGTTTATAGTTCTTAATTTTATAAGGAAATATTTTTTAAAATCTTCAATCTCCCCTAGAATTAGAATTGTAACATTTGTTCTCTAGGTCTTTCCCCATCAATAATTTATTTACCACCTATCTCTAAAGTACAGAATTTAATGTAAATTACTCATTATAATATAGATATTACAAAGGCAAAGTATAATTTTTATAGTCTTCAATATTAGTTGTTTATGGATTCATAAGCTAGAAGATCAGCCCCACCTGCCATATCCTTGCTAATAATTCTCTTTGATGCTGTATACTATGTCATTTATAACCAATAGAAAGGCAAAGTTTTATCCTATCAAATGACGTATAATGCTATTTTGTTTTATGTTGTTGTTTTTTTCAGAGTATTGTCAATTTTGTCTTCAGTTTGAAAGTATATCTTGTAGTTCAGTTTAAGCAACTAAGGGAATTAATTTCAGCCTTCTTGTCATTGTTAGAAAACAGTTAAATTTTAAATTATAGGACATTGTTATCTTTGTGTGGGTGTTATTATTCTTTTATTTTAGTAAATGAAAATTATTTAGTGTACTAGTATCATTATTATTATTTAAAAAAGGCTTAAGTTTTCTTGGCAACAAACAACAAGAGATCAAATGTAAGTACTATATTTGTTTTAGAAGTATTATATAAGTAACTAAATTATAAAAATTAGAAACTTGTATGATTATATAAGCTTAGATTAGGTAAGATAATGAAAAATATTAATAAAAATTCTTCATGAGGTATGCTCACAAGCAGCTTGAGCAGTAAATCATTCAATACAGTAATGTGAGCTACGTGTTTGCAAAGTGGTTTGCAACTTGTGTGGTGGGATTATTAGTTAGGAACAGTTCAAAGGGTAGTAAAGCAGTAAAATTAAATATAAACCGATGTAGACCATTATGAGCCAAAAATATTTAGGATAAACAATTATAGTTTTCTGTTGCAATATGCAATCATTCTAGAAACAAAAAAAGGTAATTCAGATTTATTTCATATTTTTTCAAATCGACCTAGTCCATATAGAATTAAGGTAGAGAAACTAACAGATAAAATATCTTTTCTATTATTGAAAAAAAAAAGTTTGATATTTATTTCGGAGGTTTATGACATTATGCAACTGATATTTGAAAATTTTCAGATGAAGTATAGTATTTTTAATCTTAGCATGAAAATCACTTTGCACTTGGAAAAGTAGACACTGACTCCATAAATTCATAGACAAATTTTTAGTAAAAGTACTTAATGAAAAAAATCTGATTTTTTTTCGTGTGTACAAAATATTGTAATGTTTACTGTAGACTTGCCATTTTTTTTTAAAATAAAGAGAACCTATTAAAATTGATAGTATGGAAACTCTGATGGTTACTCTGTGACTACAAGGTTGGTCATGTCAGTGAATCCCAAAGGTGAAAGATTTAATTATAATAATGATTGATTGATTTTTTTTACGACACTTATCAATGTAATTGCTGTTTGTACGTGATCATTATATCATTCAGCTCTATCAGTGGTAGTAGTTTGCTAAACATGCCTTTTTTTATCAAAGACAATGTGTCAGGTATATTATTTTTTTGACTGACACCTAAATGTATACATCTTTTCTCTTATGAGCTTTGTAAAACTTGTATTTTAAAAGTCTCAAAGTATAATATATAAATGTTTTTGTTTTCACCTGCTAGACAGGGCAGCATGGCCCAGTGTCTAATGCTATAGACTCATAGTTGGAGGGATGCAAGTTCAAGGCTTAATGGTGAAATGTTGCTGTGTCCTTAAGAAAGACACTTTACCCCAATTTTTTCATTATACTCTGCTGTATAATGGTTACCACAGGTAGATGAGTTTTAACCTGCAGATGACTGGCTTCCTATTGAGGGTGGATGTGTCACAATTTGTATATAATCTGGCCACTAAAACCAGAGTTCAGCACTGGCTCCTATGTGCCATCTAGGTATAGGATGGAGTTGAATTGACTTGTTTAACAACAAATGTTTACAGTAAATTAGATATAATTCTGTTATTGTTTCAGGCGAGACACTTTCAATCACCTAACTACATGGTTAGAAGATGCTCGCCAACACTCAAACTCCAACATGGTCATAATGCTCATTGGAAACAAAAAGTAAGATCCTATACTATTATAAGTTACTATAAGTTTAAAACTCATTTAGGTTTACAAGTACTATTAGGTAGAGAACATGAACTATTAATATATAACTTGATGTAGTTTATAACTGTTTTTGATTTGACATGAAATGCCAGCTTTTTGTTTTTATTGTTCTTATAGATATGGTTACTGTTTCAAACAGTTTGTTTCTTAAGCTAATGGAAAATCTCATGTAACCCCTTCTAACATGACCTGTTTCCAAATATTGAAGTTCTTCAGTTGTATGTGTTGCACTAACATTTGTATAACTTTAGTAACAATCCATGTGGTGGAATTGATTACTATAGTTTTATCTGTTTGCCAGTTGCTATTTATATAATTAAACTAATGTATAGACAAAACTGAAGGCCTACCCACTGCCTCACATGTGTCAGAATGAGAAATAGTAAAATTTTGTTTTTCACAGAAATGTAAAATTTTTCTGGAAATCATAATAATTTTAAATTGTTTTAATTGAAGAGCTCCTCACACAGTAAATAGCTGAGTGAGACAGTCTTGTTAATACTGAATTCTAGAGTCCTATAGTAAAACAACACATGAAGAAAAATAATTATAATACAATCACGGTAGCACAAATATATCTACTTTACATAAATTTGAGTTGATAGAAAATTGTGAAAAGGCTTGTTTCAGAGTACTTCTTTTCAAATACCTGCACAGCACTTCTGTCACTGACAATGTTTTTATATATATACACTATATCAGGAAAGCAGATTGTTTGCAATGACAGTTACATTATGTTAATTTTTTTATATATCACCCAACAAAAATAAGAAGAGGTGGTCAATACAATGAGTATTCTGGTATTGATACAATATATAAGAACGATAAAGAATCAATTATAATAGGCCTAGTTTTATGGTAAAAATAATGTAAACTCTTAATTTTTTCATCATATTTTTCTAAAATTGGCCATTTGAGATTCCACATTATTTCATATCAGTCTTTTGTCTTCCACAACCCACGAGATCTTTCATTTTGCTGTATCAGTACTCATCAGTTGGGCTTGACAACAAAAGATAAAAGTTTCTTCAAAACAGTTTAAATGTCAAAAGCTGGTGAAACATTGGAAATGAATTGACCTACCTTTTGTGATAAATAAAATCACATAAACTGCAGATGTTTTATTTTTGCAGTGACTTGTGACTGATGACAAAGTGATGGTAGATGGCATGTACACTATCATCCCTTAAAACATCAGGGTATCACTGATAGTTTATGTAATTTCACTGCTGATTCTTCACCTTTCAGACAACTTTTCATACATAGTTTGTTTTAGCTGTAGATGTACTTTTAACAAGTTGCTGAGGATCTTTTTATTGGACCAGAGTACCATGCCATTGATAACTTGAATGAACAAAATGAAGTAGTGTTTAATTCATCCGTTTAACATGGTATCTACAGTATTATGAGAAAAATTTCCATTTCACATATTTCATGCTTTAATAAAATTATATATGATAACAATAGTTGCATGAAGCACCTTACAAATTACATAAGCAGTAGTGTAGAAGGTGTGTAAGTGTAAGTTAGTTTCTGATTTACAGTAAAATGTATTCCTATTTAACATAAAGAGAGAGAGAAAAAGAGTCCCACTCTAACTCACAGAAATACATACTAAAACAATACAGGTTGTTGTCAGTTTGTTCAGCAGTGAAGAAACTAATCTTTGTCTTTTTTAGAATTAAATAACCTTAACAGATTTTAATACATTGACAACTTTGTTCAGGGTTGATCATCTAGCTGTGTATGCACATTCATATGCTTTTAAATAGTTTCAAACAAATGCCAGAACTTATTCAGATATGCTTAGTGTCCTTGAAATTAGTTGCATTCACACATAAATTGCATATGAATCTACGGGAATCCACCAGCTCAGTAATGATCATGTCAAAGTTTACAGCTCTCACCCATGTTCCTAATGGTAATAATGAATAGTGCGACTTTTAACTTGTTTATGATGTTGGAGCCTGTATTTTTGCCTGGTTTAATAACCTAAATGATCTTACAAGGACAGCACTGAAGGCTGGAAGATCTTTTGTTTGAAAGGGTGGCCAAAGAATAGAAATGACTTGGTAATATTTACTAACCAAGATACCCAGATGTTAGCTTAGCACTTATGTGATGTTTTAACCAGACTGCAGTTATACCTTGAGAGGAGCAGCAGTGGTATAAACAGTGTTTATTTGCATTGATGCACTTTTTATGCATAAATTTTAACATCTGGGACAGAGAAAACTTCTTTAAAATACATTCTGAGGTCTCAGACTAAAATTACCTTCATATTGACTTTTTAATTCTATTCACCATCATATAGTTTTCAATAAAATTCAGATCTTTAACCTACATTTTGTATCAGTTTGATGCTGCAACATCTATACTGTTGTATGTAGTGTTGCTGGCAGAAATGTTCTGTCAAGTTTTAGGAATTGACTTGAATGAGGAGCTGTCTATCTCTAAAACTGTGTACTACTCAATGAGAAGAATTTTGTGGTGGGAAGAGCAAGGTAAACATTATTGCAAACCATTGAAACTTAGAAAACATTCAGATGTTACAGTAGTTAGTAAGTAATAAATGAGAAAATTAAAAATCCTGCTTTTCTTGTTTTATGTAAAAATATAAAGGAATCCTATTTATCCAGTTGGTTCCTCAGGACTCGGAAACATTCAGTTGACAGTAAGAATACTGATTATCATGAAAAGCATGTTAATATTTTAGTTGTTTATCACAGGTTAATACAGACAGCGATATGAAAATAACTTTACTTCTGCGTGAAGCCATTGTAGTCACTCCTTTGTAAACTTGTGTTTGTGAAAGTAATCTTCTCTGCCTTAGAGAGATTAGAATTCATTGGAGGTGTACTTTGATCACAAATACACTTTTGCTTTTTTTTAACTCCTGAAGTGTAAAATTGTTATCTGAATCTATGAATATTTGCTTTTATTTTTCATTTTGATTCCACCTTTTTGCCATTAGAATGTCAGTTTAAAAAAATTAAGTCCAACATATCTTTCACTATGGAATGAAAAAATTTAACGTTTCACAACTTAAACTTACATGCATAGCTTAATTTTAGTTCTAAAAGTATGTAATAGTTGACTTTATAGTTATGAATAATTCTTAGAAAATATAGTTAATGTTAGAAGAAAGTATTTTTTAACTTCATTTTATCGCTAAAATTTTAAGGTTACAATTAATCCCTTATACTGGTAAGTCTTAGCTCATACATATATCAACTAAAGAAGTTCTTAGTTAACATAAAGAAAATATATCTTGTTAGTGACTTAGAATCAAGAAGAGAGGTCAAAAAAGAAGAAGGAGAAGCATTTGCCAGGGAACATGGATTAATTTTCATGGAAACATCTGCTAAAACTGCGGCTAATGTTGAAGAGGTGAAGTACAAAAAAAACACATTAGAACTGAAAAACAATCCAGTGTTACATACATAATTGTAGAATGTCAAGAAATCTAAAAACTGTCATTAGTCATATTTTAACTTATATTCCACTATTATGAGAAAGTATATGCAGAGCATTTTTAATGGCCTTATTAAAACCAATATAATCCAATTCAAAACCTCTTATAAAAAGTTTTTTTTATTTAAATCAAAGGTAAATACAGAATTTAATTCTTTTGTTGTTGTTTTTTATGGCTGTTAAAATTTATGCATGGACATTCAACAACAATCACCTGATGATGACAAAACCTTGTCGAAACGTTGTACATTTGTTGTTATGTTAAACTTATATTAAAGTTTTTCTTCATTACCCATTCAAGCCGTCTCCAGCCATTATTAGTCTCAAAGTGGGTTCCTCGTCATCGAATTTGAACAATCCTTTGTACTGGAATAAATACAAGTGTTCTTAAGCATCAAGTATTGATATGGACAACCTTAAATATTGCTTGTTTCTAATTTTTTTAATCATGTCATTTGATAATGAACTTTTAAAAGATACGTAAAAGGAATTGTTAAAATACATATGAGAAAACATAACAGCTTGTAAATCTTTACTTTTAACATGAAATATTTGTTTTTATATCTTTTTTATGTTTCTTACTGTTTAGTTTCGTATCTTATGTTTATTAATGAAGAATCACTTCTAAACCACTTTGGTAACTGTATAAGTTAGTGTCAGGTCTTGTAAGGCTGAATTCATTACAGTAGGTGTCTGTGACTTGTTGCCAATAAATCTCAACAATAAACAAATGGCAACAGAGTCTGCTTGTTTTAAGAATAATATATTAAAAACAAATCAGATGTTTATATACAAATGTTAATTATGCTGTTGGTTACCACAGTTTTAGCCAGAGCTTTAAATAATTTTCTTTTTGATTAAAGTCTACACAGGCTGGTTCAGTTACTTTAGAACACAATTGACAAGACAAAGAATTCTTCTCTTCTCTATTATTACAATACAGCCTGTGATCATTTCACCTTAAAAATCACCATATGTACTCTTTATCACTAAACTCACAATCACACAGTTTAGAACTAGAACTAAATAATGATTTTTCAACTTGTATTTATACCCTGGCAGAAGTCTAGAACTTTCCACACATTACTAGATATTCTGATGCAATAATACTCAAATCAACAAGAAACTGAGAAAGTTCTAGCAACTTGATGCAATAATCTCACTATTTTAAACAATTGAACAACACAATTATTCTAAAAATAACTAAATATGACACCGACATTATATAAACTATCTAAATTGTAATGCTCACATTAAACTAAAACAGTTATGTATATCTAACAGATAAGTTAGCATTGAATCAGGCACTGACTTATTAAAACTATAATAATGGCTTATAACTTAACATCAGATTTTCTTAAATTAATTTCAGTTATTGCATTTTTTTTCTTTTGTTATTAATTGTAAGTATATACAATTAAGAAAAGAAACAAAAAATTTGTGTGCTACATCTCGTGAAGGATTTGGTCATGATCTCATTGCTCAGTGTAAAATGAAACATTATATTTACACAAGCTTTTTTTTTTCTGATATTTTATACTACCAGTTTTATATTTCATTTGAATTTCTGCTTTATCACACTACACTTGTTATATCATAAGACCCAGGTAGAGGACTTTTGTGAATTGATAGACAAAATTATTGTATGATTACTGCTTTGTTATGTAATAGATATTTGTCATGCTTTATACCATATGTTCATATTAACTGTCACATTTTGTTTTTTACTACTCAACAAACAAATGATTGAGTGTTTATCAAATAACATGTAAAAGATACCAGTTCCTTTCCCTACCATAACTACAACAATGAGAATTACTAGATGGCAGTTGGATCAAATAGATGTAAATAATACTTACTTTTGTTTGTTTTTTCTTGACATTAGGCTTTTATCAATACTGCTAAAGAAATTTATGAGAAAATTCAAGAAGGAGTTTTTGATATAAATAATGAGGTAAGAATTTAAGTAACCAAAAAACGAGACTGAATGAGTTAGCAGAGGTTAGATTATTGGATTATAAGTTTATGTGAAACTATATATTGCTGATATACATTTCAGAGATAACATGGCTTAAATCTATTGAATAGGTAGCATAAGATTATGAATTTGATTTGTAACTAAGGAATTTAATTACTTATTAAATTTATTTTTAAGTCAACAATATGAATGATATTTATTTCTGTTCACTAGTGGTTTGCAATGTGTGAACTTGGAGATCTCTATGAGGGATGATTATTGTTAATTATAATCATTTTAGATAGTCCTGCTGTCATTGTTAATTTTATACAGTTACTTGTAATACATTTATGTAGTTATTTTAACTGTATTAATATCATGTGGTTTTTATTTTGCATTAGAAGTTAAAATACTTTTGCTCTTACCTAAGGTATTTTTGATATTGTTGTTTCAATTATGTTATTCATATTAAGTTATAATTTTGAATGATAATTTGATAATTGAAAAATTATTGCATTTCCATGTTGAATATAATTTTTAGGCTAATGGGATAAAGATTGGTCCTCAACACTTACCAACAAATTCTAACCTGCCATCTGGTGGACAATATTCCAGTTCCAATCAGGGTGGAGGATGCTGTTGAGATGCATAAGTAGCTACAGTAACAAAATAATGTTGAGACTTGATGTATTTGTAACTTAAGTGTTGTTAACAATTTTTAGTTTCCATTTTGTATTATCCTCATGTATTCTTCTGAATCTAGTATCTTTTTTTTTATTCTTCAATATTTTTTTCATCCTCAGCCTTTTCTAGCTTTTATTTGTTTTTCAAGTAGTACTACAACACTCCAAATCATGATAATTTGTTCTTTTTCAATGCAAACAAAGTTCTGGTTTATTATTTTTGGGTATAACTCCTTGAAAATATTTATAATTAGACTACAGCTTAAGGAGTTATTTTCTAAATTCAAACTTGAAAATATATTTAAAGTTAAAATTGGTTATTTAGTTTAAATGGTGTTCCTTTCAACTTTTGTTCGTCTTTTTTTTACGTTACTTTATGTAACGATATGTGAGGCTTTTGTGCTCCTTTTAGAGGAATTGTTTTTCATGAACATGTACATTTCTACCAGTCTGTAAAGAGGTGTCTTTGATTGGTTTTATGACAACTTAGCACTTAAAAACAATTTGATGTAAAAAGACAAGCTTGTGAATTGATACAATAATTTTGTTTGTTTTGTACTATCCTCTCTTATATTTATCTGTGTTTTATTTAATCATCTACATTAATGACATAGACTAGACTTAGAAATTATTTCCTAAATGTTTTTTTACACACTCCATAGTTTTAGTTTTTGTAAAATATTTCTTTTTGTGGATAAAGCACAACTACAGTAAAGCAGTTTGGAAGCATCTGTAGTGTATGTGTGAAAAGAAATGTGAATTATCTATAGAAGCTTTGATTTTCTGAACCTGCAAAAGGGATTTCATCACGTTTTTTTTTTAACTTTCTGTATAAAAATTTCAATTTAAAGTATAAGATTTTTCTCTTGAATATAATAATAATCTGTGAGTGCCTGTAGTTTAATATTGTCCAACTATCTCAGAAAAATTTTATAAAAAAATATCACATAATATTAATAGGCTAGATAACTTAAGGTATGCTTGTATGTTTCTAGCTCAGATAAGAGTATATTTTGCATTACTGGAGTAGCTGATAGCAATTATGTCCTAACAACTAGTATTTGGGAAAGCACATATAAGTAACATGTTTTGTTTTGGTTTATTAACTAGATCTCCAATGTTTTTATAGTGAGGTTGCATGTTTTTGAATTAGTGGCCTATTTAATTTTTGCTGTTAAATCATTATTGACTGAATGAAGAGTGTTTTCATGTCATAGTCACTATTAAGTTTGCAGAATATATAGCATGAGCAACATTACAAGTTTAACTTCAAAATGTTCAGGAAAAACTTGAGGTAGTTTTGTATTTTTATCGCTGCTGTTTTGTACTATGTTAAAAATTTCAGTTTTTTTATACAAATATATAGTAATAAAAACCTGAATTGCAGACTTCATAAATATTTAATTTTCCTTTTTTGTAATTAATCTTGAAATTTTTCAAACATTGTAGCACACGTGAAATGATAACTTCATGACAGAAGTGTATGGTTCATATAAAAATAATTGAGTGTAGTATTGTCTTATTTAATACTCTGATAGTAATTAATAACAAAGTATTCTCTAGTGATTATTAATCAGCAATTTTATGAAACTGGTGTATACCTGCATAGAGACATTTTCTTGCATAATAGAACTTCTCTGTGCTTATTTTGCTCTGTACTTCAATAAATATTTCTTTTATAACTAGAATTATGTTAGATAACTGCCCTTTTTTTAATAAAAAGTTTTAGATTTTTTGTTATGGTAATTCACAAAAGTATGTAACATTTTTAAATATTTAATTGGTAATTGAAATTTATAAAATGGTTGAACCATGTTATTTCTTAGCTTGTTAAAACTTCAAGACTAGCAGAAAAATTATATTAGTATTGTGAGCTTAAAGATCGAAGGGAAAACTTTAATTTGAAGATATTTGGAGTCAAGTCTCTGTTTCTTGTCGTGTATTAAATAACCTATATACAGTATTGTCACTTCTTTATAAATCATAAAACTTAATAAAAATTACTTGATCAATTAACTTGTGCTTGCTTTAAAGTTATGAAAAAATAACCAAGTATACTTTACAATAAATTAACTATACTAATTACAACATAACATTAGTTCTGAAACAAAGATTCCTCAATCTAAATTCATGTTGTGTTTATGTTAGTATATCTTAAATTGACTTGTGTAAATTGTTTTTTAGCAGTGGTAAAGGTTAAGTGGGTTTATTGAATGCTTCTCAAACACACACTTACAATGGAACTTGATTTGTATCAATACCTCCCATCATTAAAGGAAAAGAGAGAGAAATTGACCACATATTAGAAGTAAAAAGTTTCATCATCTATCTATGGTTCATTGCACTTGTATTCTGAGACAACTGAAAGGTGCATATTCACATGTAGAATAACTAGAAGTGATTCATTTTATTCTTTATGTGATATATATGGGACAGATGATGAAAAATTACATCATATAATTTAATTATGTTCATAATGAAACTTTTCTTGGTTTGACATTCCCATCATCTCCCTTAATTTCAAAAAATTAAGACAAATTTACTTATTTTACCTTAAACAATTTGTTTCTGCTTTCATACAATTGCAAATTTGAGAATATATATATAAAGTTAAATAACAAAGAAGAGATAATTCTGTTAAAAAATTGTAAAGAGATATAAAATCTTGATGTAACTCCCAAGAAGTAAAAAAATTAGAACTAATATTTACCAATTTCATAATTAAATATTTTTTAAAACATGAAATTTTGATTACAAGGTGTGTAAAATTGTGAAACTTGACAATTTTTAATGTGAGGTATGAAATATATAATTAACAGTAAATTGATAAAGTTTAGTTTGTGCAAAAGCTTATTGTAATATTGTGATTTGAAAACACTGAAATGTAATTTTTGTAAGATAGTAAGAATTAAGTCACATCTGTAGCTTCAAACATTCTGGATTCGAAGACAACTTTTCAAAAGTTTTTTTTCTAGCTTTGACTCCTGTAGCATTTATTTTCTTCTACAATCAAAGATTTCAGCGATCTTTGCCAGTGTGGTCGTTCAGTTTCAGCAAAATTGTGATTGCAATACACCTAGTCAGCACAGTACCTTAAAACAACAACTCCTGTTAAATCTTAAGTGTTTGTGAATTAAGTAATGATAATAACTGATTAAAAGGTTCATTTCATATATCAGTATTGACAAGTTTAGAATGTTTATGCCAATTTGTGTTCTGTGCTTGAATTTAAAAGTACTAGAAAAATATATGTACACATATATAAATGTGTATAACATTAAGTGTCCAGATTTCTTAAAATTGTATGTGTCTCAGGTTGTCATTGTGCAGTCTGAACCATGTAAATATGATACTGAAATCTGTAGAAAAGTCAATAAACATGTATACTTACATGTATTCTGATGTATTATTTGTAATGTTTTGTGTCAGTTCTGTTGGGCTGAGTGCAGATCATGTTTGCATTCCATTACTTTAGTGCCACGAGTGGAATATATATGTGACAGTAAAATCCTACTGTTCGATCAGACAAGGGTAGCCTAACAGTTGGTGATGGTTGGTATTGAATAGATACCTTCTCTGTAGGCTGTCACTTCAAAATGATTGACGACTAGTGCATGTAGCTGTGAAAAATGCAGTAAACTTGGTACCTTTACACAAAGTTTCATGAAATGCTAAATGTAATTTTGCATCTGTGTTACTGTTTGTTACTTATAATTATAGTTTATTTTTTCATCAGAGAATATGCTGATGATAAAACTTTTGCTTTAATATTTATTTATTTTTTACTGGGTAATTTCATAAAAGTAGATTAGAGCTGTAAGCATCGAAAATGAAAGCTTTTGTACCGTCTTATTAGAGAAAACTGAATATTTGTTTAGATGTGATGAAATAAAAAACGGATTTAAAGGAACAGTGTCCTGGTGTTCGTGACTGGAACATGCATAATTATTTTTCCTAAAATGGAAACCTTTTTTTTGGTAATTCACATAGTAGTACGGGGAAATGAGATATATTTATACATATTAAATATTTTAGAGATTGTTAAATTTTCAAAAATCTTGATTTATAAATGATTATATATATATATATATATATATATATATATATATATGTGTGTGTGTGTGTGTGTGTGTGTGTGTGTGCGTGTATTACAGATTTCTTTCTCACCAAAGGTAAAATTTTAAAAAATCTGTTAGTTTGAGGCCTAATACTCTCCTTGATTGGCTGTGTCCTCTCCTGAGGACGACAGTTTCGCCTATTCAAGGCTCACCAGCACAGTTAGGGTCAGCAAACCGAAGAAATAGTTATGCCTCCTATAATGGTGATGTGTATATAATATTTATGGGGTTTCATAGTCATGTTCAATCACCAGTAAAGTAACCTAAAATAATTTAGGTGTGTGAATGATGTTACAGGTTTCTTTTTTCTTACCAAAGGTAAAATTGAGAAGAGAATCTGTGACCGTGGAATGCTCGCTATGATTGACCGTACCATCTGCTGTGAACATTATTGGTGATTTGAAAGGGCTTAAAAACCCCCATTAACATGAGTTATAAATGTTTTAATACAATACATATTGGCTTGTCACAGAATTAAAGGAATGTCGGGTAATGTTTTCAAGGACGCTAATTTATTGTGTTAAATTACATTTCCTTTGTTTGGAATTACAAACTATTTTTTTAATATACAATCGGTAGCTCAATACTGAATCTGAAAGTTTATAACGCTAAAACTTGGACTTCGATACTCGTAGTGGGCACTTCAGAGATAACCCATTGTAAAGCATTGTGCTTAATAACGAACAGAATTTTAAACTCGAGTAGGTTATGTTCAAATTAGATTGCTTGAAGTGTTTTTTAGTTTTGTTAGAATAAGTTTGTTTAAAACAAATCTGCACCTTGGATTTATTAGCGCAGGACTAGCCGAAGTCTGAACTTTGAAGTTAGCGTTATAATCCCTCACGCTTACTGCTTAGTCACAGAGGGAGGTGATAATATAACCAATGTTTATGTGTATTTCAGAGCTTACTGGTTGAAGATTTGGCTTGGATTTAAAAAAAATATGCGAAGTGCTTTTCTTTTCGTGTATTCACACAGAGCGTGATTTTATTTATTGAAATGTATACTGATAACGTGAGGCGACAGATGAACCCAAAGATTTACAATCCGAACACGATAGCCACTGGTTACGCTCGCGATTCACGGTTCAGCGCGCTATCTTTTGGGTTACTTCAACCTCAAGAGGAACGGGAACAACTAAATCAAGTAATTAAACAGTTGAAAACTTATAAGTGCTACCCTATTTTCAGTACTTGATGCTTATTCGTGTAACAATAAGTAGTCTAAACAAATATGTCAAATTTTAAATATGACTATTTTCATCGTGTATCGAATAACAAGAGTTCCCCCATTAGATATATAGGAAAGTTAGGCATTTTTGAATAAAAAAATTGAATGTATCGATGCAAATATAAAGTTAAAAATAATGAAGCGTTGCATTAAGTAATTAAAAATGTTATAACGTTATAGCTTTTGTAGCAACCGAATTAGATAAGGTTAAAATAACATTCTTTCAAATATTCTTTATTTCACGAATTTTGGATTGAAAAAAAAACAAACTAATTATGTATATTCACCAAAGATGTTGCATCCGTATGTCACAAAAGTGTCATGTACACTATCTTAATAGGCTTCTATTTTTTCGTAATATCAAAATTAATTAAAATTATATTAAATAATTTTATATATTACACAAGTGCCGGTAATTCATATTTATCAAAGTTAATGTTTTACACGTGAGTATCACTTTAATGTTCAGGTATACTGATTTCCAACAGATAGTAACAAGTAACCGCAACACAGCAGGTTCCGGATATTTTATGTTAGGAATAGTTTCGAATACCGACAACAAGCAATTGAAACCAAATTACAATGAACAAGTAAATATATATATATATATATTTATCTACTAACAAGAAAGCATGCAGGTTGGAATAAAAATGTCTGTATGCACATAATAATGACCAAAATCAGAATTATTGATCATACCACACAGTTACCAAGATCCTGTCCCTCGGTGGGACAGCGGTAACTCTACAGATTTATAAAGCTAAAATCCGGGGTTCAATTCTCCGCGGTGGACACACTAGATAAGCCGATGTGACTTTGATCTAAAAGAAACTTAGATCCCAGTGCTGTATCTCGCAATCTTTAGATCATCTACGTCAAAGACCATATCTATGTACAGAACGCCTATATATATATATA